AACCATATATGTATGTTTGTATGCATGGGCTCAAGAATTTGTTTTAATTGATGAAAAGACTAACCGATTCGCACAGTGGTTATTCACGGTTGAATGTGATTTCATTACACACTCCAACAGATCCAATATGAGGTGGACCTAAATTCGATACCACGGTAGGTAAATTGATGCCGGACAAAGCCGAAATACCAAACTACAATTGGAAAATTGGGTAGCCCTTTAATATGATGCGTGACCTTTGCATTAGAGCTATGTAGAAACATGAACATTTCCGTGAAGAAATTGTTTACCCACCAAAGGTCTTGACATACTCCCCTACTGGAAATGTCGGTAGTGAATCCCTATTGATTCACTACTAACATTGTCAGCAGTACTACTGACCGACTGTTAAAAACTCCATGATTTTCCTATAGACATTTTATATAAACGTGTCAAAGTGATAGTGATATTGTCAATAGTGAGTCAAGAGCGACATTTGGGGTAGTGAGTCAATACAAACCACAGAAATAGTGAGTCAATAGAGACTTTGGATTTTCCACAAAATGTTTCAAAAAATCACTAATATTTTCACCACAAAAGTCGTCGACCGTCTTAGAATTTCACATGCATTTTATTTTTATTTTTCGAAATAAAATTTTGTCACAAGTACTAACCGCGAAAAGAATATAACACAACATAATTACGAAAATGGAAGAAAGGAGAAGAAGAAGCACAATAGGCAATAACCTTTATATATGAACATGTTTCTTCTTATTGAAGTAAATGCGGTACAATTGACAACATGTTGACAACGTCGTAGAAAAGTGTTGTCAATGTCCCCGTACTTGTAGACAAAAGTGTAGACATGACCACCGCCGTCCCAACGTTTCCTTCGGAGTCACTTTATGATTCATTAACACCAAGACGAAACGGCCGAAGCTAGGTAAGTATCACACAAGGTTCGAAGGAAATTCGAACTTAGGAATGAAAATCAGGGTTGATGTAAGGAGGTGGTTTTCGAAGTGTGCACTCATGTACACGAAAAGTACTAAATTTGATACAACTTTATTTAATTTGGAGGAACGAAAAGAGCTGAAATTAAAATTACTATCAATGTAGAATTGGGGATAGTTTTGGAAATTTCAACTTATGGGTACGAAAAGTACTAAATTTGGATTGTTGTGGACCATTGGAACGAGAGTACTGAAATTTGGCAAAAAAACAAATCTATTGGATTGTTTGATTGAGGTATGAAAATTTGAATTAATATATAATAAACGGTACTAAATTTGGTACAATTTGAGTTTGGGTGAACCGATATATCTGAAAACATGAAATCTGGAATTCTGATTATTGTTGTAGTTTATGATTGTATATGAAGGTAGTTTTAGAATATGGTACTTATATATGTCTAACTTTGATACCATTTGGATTTGGGTAAACCGATACATCTGGAATCCTGAAATTTAGAAGTAAGCTAATTTTATTGTAGGATTGAGGTAAGTACACTTGCCGAAACTTAAAAAAAAAACTTTAATATATTTTTGAAGTTCAAAGTTCAATGTGTAGGAATACTTTTTCTGGCAAAAGTATTTCTATATTTGATTTTACATTTTTGCAGCAACAGCTTGTCCATATACCAAAATTAATTTTGGCTTTTAATTAGTTTGCCAAATTAAATGTTGAACTTGTTTTCCTATCCGGATTACTTCAATTGTCAATAATTCTAAACCACTGTTTATTGAAAACGAAAATGTGTTGGTGCGTGGTATGACTGATTCCATACCATGAGTGGACAACCAAATTGAAACAATAATAACAACAAAATAAACAAAACAAAAACAGCAAATTCTACAAATAAAATCATATTTGCCTTTTAAATAAATACTTCATAAAAAATAAAACAAAACAAAACAAAAAAATACTGCACAAAAAGGTATTTAGCGTCTGCCGGCGATGGTGGCAGTCGCAATTTTGTTGCGAGTTGGCGCTATACGATTTGTTTTATCAATTTATTTGTTGTTGTTGTTTTTTGTACTTATTTGAATGTGGTGCATTTGTCTGTGTGTTGACGAGGGATCTGGGCTTTTGTGAAATTACGTCATGGCTAAAGTAAACGAACGCTTGGCATTGCAAAAACCAAAACAGACAAAATTTCTGTCGGTGTCGAGACGACAATGCGCAATTCGTGAAAATGTTGCCGGTACCGCAGATACCGCTTTTTATGGTCAAATACCCTACAGCAATGATGTGATCAATTCCAGTGATTGATAGCATAAGGTGGCCTATGGGAACACATTACACAGAGAAGGGGTTCAATGCAATAAAGTGGCGCAGGGTGTGAATGTAGATCACGTGTAGCTAACTGATATATTTATGATTCCGAAAGAAATGAATCACAACATTTTCCCAACATGTATAAGACGGGGTTTAACATAGAAATAACTCGGAAATGTCCCATGCGAATGGAACAATGATATACCATATGTATTTATAACTGTAACGTCTGAACCACCGAAGTTTCATAATTACACTATGAAACAAACAACATCAGAATTCTATAAATCGTCACAAAATATAAAGTAAACAAATTACACCTCTTGGTGAACGAAGAGAGAAGAGTGCCTTAGACCCATATATAACACCCTATACCATAACTTCTATATTTGACTCTTATTATTATTATTATTTTTTTTTTTTTTGCTGTGTGGAATTTCAATTTTGCATTGTTTTGTTTTTACGCCACCACATCTTGTGGCCGACTCGAAACTGAAATGGATACTGACAAAAATGCAAAAAACAAGTCAAAAGATTATGACGAAGGCCAGACAGAGGAGAAGAGTGCCATCGTGGTGTGACAACTTCATTGACGATGATGTGACATCTGAAGAAATACGACCGAGGGTAACTATTTCGAAAATGTTTATTTACATGTGATTGTAATTCGTACGTACATATTTATAAACAAATATTTTCACTGTGTTTCAATGCTAATAAATTAAAAATTCATTATCCAAACAACTAAAAATTTATATAATCGGTCTACACCAAAATGTTTTGTAGACTGAAGAGAACTCCATATATTGAAAAATCGTGACTATTTTCAATATTTCGACTATCTGTTGCCGACAATTCTGACCAAAAAAACCGATAATCGGTTGAATCTAATACATCTAGGAAAACCTTAAGGGTTTATAGACACATATTGAGTACCAAATAATCAAGTTTTCATAATTTTTTACAAGAAATCTCCTAATTTTTATTCGAAAGGACACACTTTGAGCTTTGTTGGGAAGTTTTAATGGATCCGTCATACAGTCCGGACTTGGCACCAAGCGATTATCACATTTTTCTTGCATTAAAAAATTTCTTTAATGATAAAAAATTGGTATCTATGGAGGATTGCGAAAATCGACTAGTAAAGTTTTTTGCATATAGAGAGCAGGACTTCTATGAGAGAGGCATTACGAAGTTAAAATTAAATTGGCCAAAACCGGACAGGTTTATATAAAAATAATGGATTTATTATTACGATGTAGACATTTATCGAAATCTTAAAAAGCTCATTGATTAAGACGTTAATAATAAAAGAACGAATCAGAAACTTTCAAAACCATATGTGATCGGGGTTTCGAAATTAATTAAAAAGAAACAAATAACAAAGTGTCAGTCGGTTATGCCGACATGTATATATCTATGGCTTCTGCAGGTATATTTGATTTGTAAATATTGAAAATTTTGAAAATTGTGGGGGAGGCACAAAAAGGAGTGGACCAATTGGTCCCATCTTCGGACTTTAAATAGGCCTGGCAAAGATAATAGGCTACGCACATTTTGGTTCAAACTATTCGCCTGATATTGTATTAATAAATATTGACAATTTTTAAACTTTTCACCAACATTTTTACCATTTTGTGAGGGAGGTACCAAAAGGAGTGAACCGGTATTCCCCACCTTGAACTATGTTTGGAAGAAATAATACGATGCGCAAAGTTTGGATGAAATCGCTTAGTCCTTTCTAGAGTTATCGTGAGCACCAGCCGGCCAGACAGATTCCAAATTGTCTAAAACGGATTTGGTCCAAAGAAACATGGGGTCTAAAATCAATATTTCGATGACATTTCCAAATTACATTAATTAAATGGTAAATTCCTATATAGGTGTTTCTGTCACAAATTCCAAGTTTTGAATGATGAATGAAACGCTCCTCTATCTCGAGTCCCTGTGTATCATTTTCGTTCATATTTTCTCGAAACACAATCTAAACACTACAATAATACATTTTTTTACTCCAGTATGTCGGCCATAATATTTTAGATAGGGTCCCCAAAAACTGTAAATTTATATTCGTATGTTTTCATGTACCGTTTCCGCTTTCAGCCCATCCTTGCTTAGAGCACATATCGTTGTACATTAACATATTTTAATATACTCACAAAAGCTTTAACATTTATAAGGAATTTTTCTCGATTTTGTGTTACAGTGTAATATGTCAATGGTACAATTTTTTTTCTTTAGACCACTTTTTATTCCCTTATAATACAAAATAAAAAAAAACTTTCTCAAATATCATTGGCGTCAAAAAATCTATAAAGACATATTAAAATTTTCACGCTATGATGATTTAATTTGTTCGACATTCTCATTCCTTAGCATTAATACAATATTAAGAGGTTTATTTGAAATCAAAGAAAAATGGGTTTCCCAGAAAACTGAGATTTTCCTGTGGAAACTCGAAATGGTTACTTGCAATCATAAAAACCTAATAAATAATATTACAGGAATTCTGTCTGTCTGCTTAGATCTCGAGTGGCTCTTCACCTATTACATTCACAAGTACTATTCTACATCAGCTGTAAGTCTTTATGGATGTATGTAACACCCAAACATCCAAACACACACATAAATACATCCACCAACGATATCTTTAAAATCAATGTCTACCCCCTTTCCAGATTTGTGTTCTTTTTTCTTCTAAATGAAAAGGGAAATTGAAAGGCGAAACGAGGAAAAAAACTTACCGTTTCGGAGAAATCATCACGTGAGCGTCTGGATATGGTCGAATGATTGTTGTTCGGATGGTTATGTTGTTGATGGTGGTTCTGATGATTAAGATGCTGCGACTGAGACAGCGACTGCTGATGTTGCTGTTGTTGAAGGATGTGATGATGATTCATGGTATCCTTGGTTGGTGACATTTTCGTTAAAGAAATAATCTTGACTGACTGACAGACTGGCCCGTTGGCTGGCAGAGAGGGTTGTTTGGTTGGTTGGTCGCTGTTTAATTGAATTCCGTTAGAAAAAAAACGTTAACCTGAAAAGAAATCGAAAACACAATAAAATGAAATGAAACATCCATAACGTAACGAAATGTCAAAACATTTATCTGTTCATGTTACAATTCTCTCACAATACCCCAGAACATCCTCCAAAAGCAATGCCACAAAGAAAAAACGATTGACAGTATCGATGTGTAAAGGATTTTTTTTCAATTTTTTTTTTACAAAAAAATGTTAGTTTGGCATTTGGTGCTAAGTAAGTGAAGTATAAAAATATGGGAACCGATTTGAAACAAAATTAACAGGTGCTAATTCAAGGTGTTTTTACAAACTCTTGGAACTTATAATATTCTCACAACATATTTGTGTAAGTTAAAATTACTAAATAAATTCTGACAAGATTATTTAACGATGATATAAGTTATCATACATTTGGTCTGTTCCCGTACTGCAAGAATCTACAATTTTTTACTACGATAACACTTTTTTCCTTTATGATATCGGAAAAAATAGTAAAAACTCGTAGATTCTTGCAGTACGGGAACAGACCAAATGTATGATAACTTTTATCATCGTTAAATAGTCTTGTCAGAATTTATTTAGTAATTTTAACTTACACAAATATGTTGTGAGAATATTATAAGTTCCAAGAGTTTGTAAAAACACCTTGAATTGCACCGATCGTCATATCAGTTATTTTGTTATTTTTTCTTATATTGAAATATTTACGTATTTGTTTTTATACCCTTCACCACACTGTGGTACAGGGTATTATGTATTTGTGCATATGTTTGTAACAGGCAAAAGGAAACGAGATAGACCCATGGAATCACTTTTTAAGTCGTTTTATGCATGTCCGTCCGTCCGTCCATGTATTGTTGTGAGCAAAGTACAGGTCGCATTTATGATCCGAATTGGATGAAATTTGGCACAGCTCATTTGTTTGGTCCAAGGACGAACCCTATTGAAATTGGGAAAAATCGGTTCAGATTTAGATATAGCTCCCATATATATTTTCGTCCGATTTAATGTAAATGGTGTACCAAAGTCCCTATATATCTTTCGATTTGCACGAAATTTGGTATAACGTACTGAATTGGGCCTAGAGTGATGTCTGCCAAATTTCGTGAAAATCGGTCCAGATTTAGATATAGCTCCCATATATAGTTTTGTCCGATTTCATGTAAATGGTGCACCAAAGTCCCTATATATCTTTGGATTTGCACGAAATTTGGCATAACGTACTGGATTGAGCCTAGAATGATGTGTGCCATGTTTCGAGAAAATAGATAGATTTATATATAGCTCCCATATATAGTTTCGTCCGATTTTATGTAAATGGTGCACCAAAGTCCCTATATATCTTTCAATTTGCACGAAATTTGGTATAAAGTATTGAATTGAGCCTAGAATCATGTCTGCCAAGTTTCGTGAAAATCGGCCCAGATTAAGATATAGCTCCCATATATAGTTTCGTCCGATTTCATGTAAATGGTGCACCAAAGTCTCTATATATCTTTCGATTTGCATGAAATTTGGCATAGCGTTCTGAATTTATGTTGGAATGATGTGTGCTGAGTTTCGTGAAAATCGATTTAGATCTAGATATTTTCGTCCGATTTAATCTAAATAATGTACCAAGTTCTTATGTTGCATAGCGTTTTGAATTTAATCCAGAATGCTGTGTGCCAAGTTTAGTGAAAATCGGTTGAGATTTATATATAGCTCCCTATATTATAGATTGATTTTAAGTAATTGACGCACCAAGGAACCAAAATATGGCTGATAGGAACAACACGTACTGAAATTAGTATAACCTAACCTGTGACAAGTTTCGTTGAAATCGGTTCATATATATATATATATATATATATATAAGTAAATTGTGCATCAAACTCCTCATATTTGTTAGATTGACATCAAATTTTGCACAACGTACAAAATTGAGCATAGAATAACGTAGTTGGGGTTTCTAGAAGTACAGACCTAGCCCAACGGATGACCTATTGATATTTGTTTGAAGTCGATTTACATACTTTTGTTCCATTGTAACAAACAAATGACATGTTTATGGATATATCTAGGTCTTTTCACATTTAGATAAATATCACATATTTTATTTCATACAATTTCATGATAATAGCCCTGTTTAATATACCCATAGTGGTGAAGGGTATCATATAGTCGACCCGTCCGACTTTACTACTTTCCTTACTGTTTTTTTTTTTTAATTGTTTCAAAAATATTGTTACGTGTCAAGGTCTATATAATAGTTCATCCAGTGAGACCAGCTGCTATCTTATTTTTTTGTCAAAATATTTAATTTCTAATAAAATCGTAGTTGGCTATCAAAAGTATGTAAAATATTTGTTCAATTTCAAAAACAAATGTGTATAAATTAAAGAAAATTGTATCAAATAGTGTGAAAAATAAATAAATGGTTAACAAAAAATCAGTGCGGAGTGGTAATTTTGTGGTACGCGTTGAAATAGATATATAAAATAAACGAAATATTCTAAAAGGCATTTTCGCCACAACAATAACGTTTGACAATAAATGTGGATGTAGGGTTGTATTTCTGTAGGAATTCGCCTTCTGGATGACCTGATATTTGGACCATGTTACGTGTCATTAATTTTGTTAGTGGCTTTGTGCATTAAATATGGCAGAATATATAACGTAATAGGTTTTGTAAAATTTACTATGAAACCAAAATATGTAACCAACTTTCAAAATGAACGACGCATATGTCGACTAGTTGAATTGATCTACTTATAATATTTTTGTATTTTTTTAAACTAAAATCTGGTTTCATATTTGTGGCCGCTAAGAAGGCCGTTTGATCCCCTTTATATTGACCGATCATCACCAAAAACTATAGGTGTGTTTTGACCATAATACATAATCCTAATTCAATTTTTTTACAGTTGGTTCATAAATAAATCCGATATTACATATTTAAGACCAAAAGTTCTTGTATTGGCGAAAATGCGATATAAAAAAGCTATTTCTGATGGTGTGTGGTCTTGAGACGTCAATATATAACCTTAATTAATTAATTTAAAGTTTGAGTCGCATATTAAAGCAAATGGAACACTTAGAAGATCTGAATTTCAACCATACAGATAGCGGTAATAATTACCAGGCTATGACTATGGTGATGAATTTGCCCCATAAAATGCCGAAGCTACCCCGGGGGTAGGAGCACATTCGGCGAATTTTACTTTTTTAGAAAACTGAAAATGTTAACAAAGTTTAGGTTAGGTTAGGGGTGGGGATGTGCAGTCACTTATGTGGCTGCAGCACTCTGAGACCGGTTAGGTCCGTTGTGATCATTCACGAGAGAAGAGATAAGTCAGATCTGTAGGGGAGAGAAGATTGGGGAAATAAAGGGAGGTGAGAAGCTTACAGAAATAAAGCAGTGAGCGGAGCAGTATAGTCGGACGGGGCCGACCATACGATACCCTACACAATTGCTACGGAACTCAAATTTTCTGCGGATGTTTATTCCGAGACTGGGCAATATTTCGTGGTATTTGCACCCTCTTCCTCACACTGACATATTTTCCGAATATTACGAGTATTCAGTACAGCTATTGTCCAGATTCCCTTCACCGTGGGTTGTGTTGTGATGTTCGGCTTTCATTTGAGGTCTATAGATCGACTTAAAAATAACACAAAAATTAAGTTTTCGGTCCACTTCATTCCAAAATTATTATCTGATCATCACCGAAAATTATAGGCGTTGTCCTTGACCATAACTGGAACCTCATGGAAAATTTCAAAGCGATCAGCGCTATAGTTCCGCTCTCCAGAGTGATAATGGGTTACTAAATAATATACGAATACGGAGATACCTGTAAATATTTAGGTGTAACTCCCACATCCGAGCACATACAACAATATAATTGGTCTTAATTTAAAGGTCAACCACTCCTCTTGGATATAATATCAACTTATGTATATGTCCTTCAGGGGTAAATATATACGCCATAGAATACAAATTTTGTCATTTTTCACACAAAAGTCAGTCCATTTGACCCGCTAAATATTGACCGATCTTTCTCCAAAGAGGCATGCTTATTCTTTGGCCCGATCCGCTTCTCCATGCAAAATTTCACGATGTTCGGACCATTATTGCGGCCTCTAAAGCGACCAGAAAAACCGAAAAAAAATTTAGTATTTGGTCCATTTCATCCCCTAAATATTAACCGATCTTTCCCAAAAACAATAGGGGTCTTCATTGGCCAGAACCCATCCTACATGCAAAATTTCGTGAAGATTGGTCCATAACTGTGGCCTGTATCGTCTTTACAAATTATAATGGACAGACGGACGGACACACATGTCTAGATCGACTCAGCTAGTCGAGATATGACGATCGGTATACTTAAAGGTGGGTCTAGGACCAATATTTCGCGGCGTTACAAACTTTTGGGGCTGCACAAAGCTATAATACCCTGACAACATAGTTGTGTAGGGTATAAAAAAGGTAAGATTGGAATAAAGGTTGATGGCTATAACCTAACCACTTTCGATTTCTAATTATGCTGTAGATTAGAGCAGGTTCTCCGTCTCCTCCTCGTCAACACAGAGTCTACAGTAATCAATTGCATCGAGATCGCATTTTCTAGTAAAAGCCCTGATATTGCAGTGACCAGTAATGATTCCTGTCATCACTCTTATTTCAGCTTTGCTCAGGTTCAACAGTGAGTGCGTTCTTTTGGTAGACAGAGTCGGCCAAATGAATCTTAACACGTTGCACCTAGGTTCGTTGTGCCAAAGTTCGTAGGCTCTTTCGTCGAAGAATGCCTCAAAGTTCCGGTAAAAATGACATATGGGTGGTTTGGTAGAGTCATCAGTTGCAGATCTGTGGATTGAGATCCTCGTCTAGCTAGTTCGTCCACTCTTTCATTACCCAAGATGTCACAATG